ATCATTAATTGATCATCCCTCTGTCATATGATTAATTGGCCGCTAATGGCTCATTAATATCTCATTTGCATTCACCTGGGATAGCTAGCTCTAAGTAACTTGTATATAACTTTTAGAAAGGAGAAAATTGTGAGAAAAGATTATCAAAACATGATTCGTTTTCATGATTTTTAAAGTGGAATCATGAACTTTCTTTATTGTTGTTCATTTCTTTTCTACTGAGGGATCGTCAAAATAAACAAAATACATTTTAATAACATTTAATTCTATAATATTCCTCTTTCTGAACATATCACTACGGTCACTTAATGAGGATCAAACTTTCACAGATCGTGATCCATTTTATTTATGATCACGGGTGTAGTGTGACGTATATTCTGTATATCTATGATAAATAAGGTATGAATTAAAGTAAAAAGAAAAAGAATGGAGGTGCGGGGCATCGATCCCCGTGCCTTGCGCATGCAAAGCGCACGCTCTACCATATGAGCTACACCCCCGATTAAATCCTTCTGAATTTCCCTTAGTAGATCATAACACATCACATCTCATAAGTACAAGCGCCATCAGACGTTTGTTCATAGAACACATCTTCATGACTTTCATACCTTAATCGATTGTACTGTCATAGTCACATTCATGAGGGGTATAACTTCCTTTAAAGATTTGAACTGCGGCTAAAATATGTTGCATGAACGAATTTTAAAACAAGATGTGAGAATGCTTCATCTTAGAATAAAATGTTTCATTCCAAAAATCAAATTGTTTTCTGTCTTTTTTTAAGATAGATGCAACCTACCAAGGCGTGTTACATGAGAAAGTTCGTCTGGACGAACTCCTCGCCATTCGATACACGTTTAATGAGGTCCGTGGCTTAAGAGTTTTGAACTAAGCTCTTTATTTTGGCTCATTTAGATGTTTTTGAGATCGCTCGAAGTAGGATTTTCAGAAAACCGTGGCTTTTGGCATGTCAGACTGAGGAAAATTTATTTTGTAAAAAACTCGAAAACGATGAAATATTTTAAATAGCATGGTTGGATTTAGTGTTCAAGATCTTTTAGTTTTGTTTGTAAATAAATTGTAAATATTGTTAAATGAGTACCAGGATTTATACCTGAAGTACTGGAAGTTTGTGCACTATTATCGAAGTCGTAAATTTGTTGTCAAACATCAAGTTATGAATGGTCGACTGTCGAACATTCATAACTTGAATCATGAATCATCTCATAAACAATCAAACATTCATTAACCATCCGTTCATGCATGACATGGGTCAAGTGCTCTTATGGCGTTTAGCTAACTCACTCTCAGCTTCCGCACGCACATCCTCGCATCGCCACTTCATAACACACGTCAAACAGATACCAATAGATATATTTTCGAAATTGTCACATCTGAGGAAATAGTGATCCCGGGACTCTCAGAAAATCCGATTCCATGCCTAAACCAGAAAAAATTAAGAATTTGCTTGGTTCCCATTTTGAAGAGGACACTTTGGATTATCTATCTATGAAGAAAGATCGACCTATTTCTATCTCAATTCTCCCAAAGATCTCCTGAAAATCCGGTCTTTGAAATTTTTTCAAAAATCGTTTTTTCTCGAAGAAAGTCGTCTACAAGTCTTGGCTATCGAATACTGAAAACCGCAGGCCCCTATCTATCTGCTATTAAACGTTATTCAAAAAGCAACCATCTGCCTTGTTTCTGGCACTGATAATAGTCTTCGCTTGATCTTAATAGCCATCACCGAAATTTCTTCATATGTAGTGGATAAAACGATGATAGGATATAGGTCGATCAGGTACAAATAACTGCCACCTAGATATTTATAAATTTGACTCCTGAAAGATATACTGAACAGTTACGGTAACTGATCGTTATCGTTACTTGTAACGGTAACTCTTTACCCGTTACCGTTATCAGGAACACCAACTGTTTCGTAGTTACCGTTATCGAGTAACGGTGTTAACGGTAACTGTCACAGTCCTAACCCTGGCTACTCAACGGTGAACATTATTCTTCCTTTTAGCAAAAAAACACACTTTTCTTAGATGAATACAAATCAAAATCTACCTCATTTATTAGAAATGACTTTTAGTTTAATATAACTACAGTATAAAAAAGAAAAATATTAAATAAACACAAAAACATCCATGTTTCTTAGATATTATGATCTCGCTTTAACATTCGAATTAAAACGTTGAATTTTTGTAGATTAAAATAATTTTTTCCACCAGAATATAAGAGAACGGCAGCAGCAGCTAATAATAAACCACGAATAACACAACCATTCGATGATGAAATTGGATCCGTTGGTGATGGTGGATAATGAGGCGGCATAAGACGTGCTTTGGTAAGTGAAAATTTCCAAAAAAATACCACAAATGCAATCATACCTATGGTTTTTAAACTGCCCATAATTATTTCTCTAGTTTTCAATGGTTCTAACTCATCTTTAATTTCATGTAATCGTTTTGGACGAAGATTATCGGGATAAGACAAGGCTTGAGTAATTTGACTTTGATATTTGTCATATGGATGCATTTTTATCGAAATCCATAACACATTTTGGATTGAAGCGAATCCCAATCGAAGGGAGGGGTGAGCGTTGTCTTGCATTCAAATGCATCGAAGATTGTATGATATTACTGGGACGGACAGATATACACTCAGCTACTAGTGTGGCTTACGAAGATGCACAACCCTAGTAGTGTGACGGATATAAGTTCCTAAAGTCAGGTGACCATGGGAATGCAGGCAGGACGGGTGAACGCCGACCGAAGGGAGGGATGAGCATTGTCTTTCATTCAGAGTCATCGAAGCTCGTTCGGAAATATAATTCACTAGGTTCAAGGAAGCGACTGACAGTGTTAATTTTGTGGCTCATTTATGACTCCTCGTTTTTTCTGTCCATCGGAGGGGAGAGTCTAGCAATCATTCAATGCGTGTCAGTTCGTTGGTCCAAATAGCCGTCGGGACGCACATACAGGCATTGCGCAGCATGCTGTGAACATGCCGGAAGAAATGCCGCCCGAAGGGAGGTCTGAGCTTTGTCTGGTGGTGCAAGTAATGTAAGGTCGTTCACACTGTGTCACAAACACACATGCACACTTAGACTTGAACGCTGTGACAGACGTAGATACACTTATTGCATTACATATTATGGATGGACCGCAAGCGAAAGCTGACCGAAGGAAGGTGTGAGCGTTGTCTTTGACTCACTTAAACGACCGTTCCTTTCCAGCGATACCACAACGAAACCGACATCAGTAGGTGACGGTCGCGCATCCGGTGGAGAGTCAACGAGCTAGCGAGCGTTACTTGTAATATAAGTTGTTCGGTAAAATCCCATTGCAATGAAAATTGCTTACTTTATTTCATTTAGATCACATGCCCACCGTAACAGAATGTACAATTTGCTTTCAAGCCGTTGATGGCGTCGACGCATTCTTGAGACATATTCGTCAGTGCCATGCAAGTTCATCTCAACATCCTGTCCTCTTTGCAGTTCGATTATTTGGAAAGTATAATCGTTCGGTTGTTTATTCGTCATATTCGTAATAAACACTTGAAATATGAATCAACAGAAGACATTCTTCAATCGTGTATAAGATTCGATGATATGGCCAGAAGCAACTGTGATGATTATCTTCGTATTCCATCTGCTGCACAACAACCACGTATGTTAGCATGTTATTAAAAATCAGAAGGCACGTTCTACCGGGCACAATTACGAACGAACGAATAACGACGAATTAAATATAATGCCCTATCAAACATGATTATTTTATTAAATTCACAACATATAAAAAACAGGTTACAACTTATGAGTATTGTGTCAAACTCTATATATCTTGGGTAACTATTTTGAAATTTAATTGAAATATACAATTATTTAAAAGATTAACGGTTTTAGAAATAACACGACTCGATAATACACTAAAGAATAGAATCAGTATCAGAGAAAGAGTTATCAGATTCGAAATCAGAATAAAAAATGATGCATTAAAAACCGGTTTTTAACAGAAAATAAGAGTATCACTTGAGACGCTTCCTTCATTAGCTTATTGATTATAGTGTATTTGAAATATTAGGATCGATGTGATGTAAGTCATGCCCTTGATAATTAATTCTTTTCTTACGATTTCATTCAACAAAACATCCTTATTATACGTATGTATATGATAAGTACTTTTTCTCTTTTCTCGGTCTAGGTTTGTTCACGTTTCTTGTGTATCGGAGAAACGAACGAATTAGTAATGAACGACCAAAACAAAAGGATAAAGAGCAAGTGTTCATGTGCAGATCATAGATAATAACAGTCGTTGTAGTCCACAAACAATCTAGTTTTGTATTTCTTTTTGTTGTTCAGCCGTCCGATAGAGAAAAGATATGAATACGCCTCGATTAATTAAGAATAGAAAAACAGGAATTATCATATATGTCTAAAAGAAATGTTTCATGCAATAAAAATAGTGTATATTGAACATAGGCGCTAGATGACG